CATTCCAAACACTCACAATGTACAAAACACATGCACTGAAAAAATTAGCAAGTACACAGAACTCGCCCAGGAAATAAGGCATCTGTGGAGGATGGATAGGGTACTTATTGTACCTGTTGTTCTCTCCTGTACAGGTGTGATACCACACACACTACACAAAAGCCTGGGAACATTAGAATTGAGTAGAAATACATACATAACACTACAGAAGGCCACTATATTGAATACATGTCATATTGTTAGGAAATTCCTTAATACAGACACTGACACTGACACACTTATTTAATTAGTTTTGGTTGCTGTGCCTTGACTCTGGTCCGGCATAGTACACAGCCACCGGTGTGAACCGAGTATTACCCACTAAACCCAACACAATAATAATATTAATATTAATATATGCCTTGACTCTGGTCCGGCATAGTATACAGCCACCGGTGTGAACCGAGTATAACTCACAAAACCCAACATAATAATATAATTAAATGTTCAAAAATATTTTTAAATTAAGTGTTTTTTAAATGAGGTACTGAAGTGTGCATCTGATGATATACATTTAAAAAAATTAGGGGAAAAAAGTTAATATTTCTAATTCCAATGTGATAAAACAATTATACAATATAAAAATAATTACTTTATGACGATGATTATCTGATTCTTCACCACTGCTTTGGTAGCATACCACTTGCTTTTTGGACCTGTAATATAAAAATACTTTTAGCATGTATTCTGCACAATTACTACCCTGTTTCATGAATGAAATTTATTATTATTATTATTATTACATAGCAATAATATTTTATATATATTTTTAAATAATGTTAATTTTTACAAGTGAGACTTATCTAGCTACAAAAGTACAAGTTCTAAAAGTTTTTAATAATCTTATTTTCATTAACATAAAAATATATAGTTATATCTAAAAGCAATACTTTTCCCCCCCATTTATAATCATACTCCAGGTAAGGAAACTTCAGAAATTTCATTCTTTTAAGAAACTATAAAAATAACAATAATTACTATTTCTAATTTAATAAATAAATCAACACTATACAACTGTAAAACATATCTTGTGAAAACTTTGATAAGTATCAAACAATTATTCTGCAAAATTATAACATTAATGAAACAAAATTCAATTTATTGAGTAACATTTATCATGTATCATGGATTAACATTTTAAGCATGTTAAGCTGATTATTAAAACACCATCTCTCTCTGGGTGATAATCTACCACCCTTCTTAAATTAAACATCATCAATTTTGTATTTGAAACATTTATAGTTAATCCAAAGTCACAACAGAATTCCTAAAGAATTTTGATTTTCTTCTGTAACATTGGAGTACTAGCAAGAATAACAGTGCCGTGCCATCAGCATACATTAGTACATGTAACCCAACTTGATTAGAGAGAGAAATCCCAGGCAGGACAGATTTAGCAAGTCAAACTTTCAGACCATTAACATAAAAATTAAATCTTGTCAAATACTATTTCCTACTGAAGAAAAAAATCGCTTACAATAAAAATTTTGCATAAGTACAGTAATTAAGTAACATTTAACTTGAGTTTATAAAATTTTATATACTTTCCTACAATAATGGGCTCAGAATCTCACCCTGTAGAATTCCAATGTCAATATCAAATGAATCAGTAGTTTCGGCTAAAAATTTTAATTCTTGCAGTGGCTTGGAGCAGCAGCGGCAACCTTTCTGACCTCACGGACCACTAAACTCACAATTTTGAATCCCGTGGACCACTAACATAAATTTTTTTAAATGATACAAAATCTGTAGAATAATGATCATATATATAAACCAACATCAGCTAACCCGATAAACATTAAAGCAACCAAAGCCAAATTAACAGACTAGAAGCGGCTATAATAATAATAATAATAATAATTTAAGATAATTTGGTATTAGAGTTAGGTGTTAGGCGCCATCTTTAGCATGAGATGGTACCTAACTCTAATACCAAATTATCTTAAATTATTATTATTATTATTATGTTGGGTTTTGTGAGTTATACTCAGTTCACACCAGTCGCTGTGTACTATGCCGGACCAAAGTCAAGGCATAGCAACCAAAACAAAACTAAAATTAAAGAAGTGTGTCTGTATTCAGGAATTTCCTAACAATGTGGCATGTATTCAATATAGTGGCCTTCTGTAGTGTGATGTATGTATTTCTACTCAATTGTAATGTTCCCAGGCTTTTGTGTAGTGTGTGTGGTATCACACCTGTACAGGAGAGAACAACAGGTACAATAAGCACCCTATCCATCCTCCACAGATGCCTTATTTCCTGGGCGAGTTCTGTGTACTTGCTAATTTTTTCAGTGCATGTGTTTTGTACATTGTGAGTGTTTGGAATGGCTATGTCTATAATGTATGTGATTTTATTGTGTTTGTCAATGAGTGTGATGTCTGGTCTGTTGTGGTAAATTGTTTTATCTGTGATTATGGCTCTGTCGTAATACATTTTGTGCGTGTTATTTTCCAATACTGTCTGTGGAATATACTTGTAGTATGGTTCGTGGATGTCTGCCAATTTGTGTTTCTTTGCAAGCTCTTGGTGTATTATATTTGCTACTTGATTATGTCTGTGTAAATAATCTGTCTGTGCCAAGAGCTTGCACCCAGAAGTGATGTGTTGTATAGTTTCTGGCATGATGTGACATTTTCTGCATGTGTCATTTGTGAGTGTTGTATCTTTGAGTATGTGTTTTCTGTAGTTTTTAGTATTTATGACCTGATCCTGTATGGCAATCATGAATCCTTCCGTCTCCCCAAAGAGGCATCCCCGATCTAACCAGCTGTTTGATGCAGTTTTGTCAACAAAATCCTGGGCCAGGTCATAAGGATGCCTGCCATGGAGTGCCTTTAGAGCCCACGATTGCTTGATAGTGTCTATGCTTTTTGTGTGTTGTGTCATGTCTGTATGTTGTGAGTGTAAGTTTAATGGTGTGCTATTTGAGTTTGCTAGAGTTACTGCTTTATGTAATTGTGATGTTTCTTGTTTCCTGTAGAAAAACTCTCGCAGTGACTGTATTTGTTTGTAGTGAAGGTTAACTATGTCAATCAGGCTTATTATTATTATTATTATTATTATAGCCACTTCTAGCCCGTTAATTCAGCTTTGGTTGCTTTAATAATGATCATAAAAGTTCAATTTTACTATATTAATATGAAACTCACGTGTTTAATTCTAACAAATTAATGCAAGCCTAAAGTTCATTGCTGCTTGTTTGAAACAAGTTTATGTATTCTTAGCACTTTTTCACAAAGGATGACAATCACACTCACAATATTGTTTATTGTTCATTATTTATTGATAACAGTCACTTTGTATTTGATTTTAGATTCGAATAAAAACTCCAGTGAGTGAAAAAAGCAACTAAGCATTTTGCATTTCTTTCGTAATACTTCGTATAACCTTTAGTTGATCAATGTCAAAATTTCTCCACAGACTACCCAAATTTTCTCGCGAACCATCAATGGTCCACAGACGACAAGTTGCCGACTGCTGGCTTGGAGTATATGTCAACTATAAGGCCAAGAAACTGTTTATTCATACCCATTCTTTCTAACAGAGACCATAAAACTTTATAATTACCGTTATCAAAAGCAAATCTAAAGTCCACAAAAACAAAAAGTTTTCCTCTCTTTTTTTTGTAATTTCAATTGAACCAATGCATTTAGTACAAATATTTGGTCTTGACAAGATTGACCAAGTCAAAACCTGCTTGCTCTAGACAGAATATCATATTTAATAATCCAATCTTTTAATCTTTTATTTAATAAGGCCATAAATACTTTACTGATCACAGGAACCAAAGACATAGACCGATAATTTTTGGAATAATAATCAAAGATTCAATCCATTTTTCCGGAAAGTAGAATTTCTTTTAATAGAATTATAAACTTCCAATGTTGTAAGAAGAAAGTTTTCTGAAAAACACTAAATATCCTATTCTAATAAAATCTAATCCAGGTGAGGTACTAGGTTTAAAATGGTTAATAGCTCCTTTTAGCTCTTCCAGTGTAAAATCTGTAAAATATTCCATTTCTATTGGAAACACTTATATGCATGTTAAAGAATGTTCTTTACAGAATTTAGTAGCATAATAATTGAACCATCTTTCCAAAAAAATTCTTGAATTACCCAATGAACTTTTACATTTAAAACTATTAATTATTTGCCAGAATATTTTAGAATTATTGGATGTCACCAATCTGCTATTTAAGTTCCAGAAATAAGAATTTTTTTTTCTTTTGACATAATAATTTATATTCTTTTTAATAATTTTTATATGAAACATAACATTCATCCATATTTAATTTTTTCACTTTCTTAAACAATTTTCATAGATTTTTTCTCATGAAATAACACTCGCTATCATACCAAACATTTGTTGTATGTCTTTTAGAAGTTGCAGATTTAATGTCATAAATTAAATCCAGAGAGATCATCATCTTAGCTACAAATTCCACCAGATCATTGGATGAGAGGTTTCCTCCATATTCATCTAATAAAACTTCATCCAATTTAACAGCAAATGAAGATTTAAATTCATTCTTCCATATTGCATGTTTACCAGAATATTGTCTATTAGAGACTCCTGATGTTAGCAGAGGGATCATTGAAAGAAAAACAGATGAATGATCAGAGCCTATCTCTGATAAAAACACACAGATCATTTACAATATGAGAATATATTTCTTGTGACACTATGACAAAATCAATTACACTGCCTCCTTTAGTTGTATGGTAAGTAAAATCACCTTTGTCTCCTGGCAGTAAATCATTTAAACACACCAGACTGTTGCATAAAAATGATACAGAATTTTCATAAAAATGATACAGAAGTTTCCCTCTATTATTAACAGTAGAATCCTTCGAAATTCTCAAGGCAATTTATCAATCACCAGTAAAAAATGACAAATAATCGGGATGTTCCATTCTAGCATTAAAAATCTGTGCATAAGATCAAATTAGTTCCATATAGTAAGTAGTTTTCTATAAGTAACAAAGTACTCTTGAAATCAACGTCATAGTCATTATCAGACGGAATATAGAGCACTATTAACTGAATATTAGTTAACTTGTCAGTATCTAGTTGTAAAATCAATACAATTCGTGTCTAAAATATCAGTTTAACCTTAGATACAATATTTAATCTATGCCAGACAATTAAGCCTCCACTGGGTCTTCCAGCTCCCTCATGGCTATGAGATATCTGATGAAAAATTTTAGTCACCAGAAAACATTGATTCATTTACCAAAGATGTATGCCATGTTTCCACCAGACAGAATATATCCATTTTGTATATAGGATTCCAGAAATTAGGGAAACAGCATTTATTTTGTAAACCTGCATTATTGTAGAAGAGAAGTTTCATATTATCATTTTTATCCAAATACAGATGATCATACTTGTTGCTTAGGTTATTATGCTGTTTATCATTAAATTATATTCATAAAAAGACTGTTTTCAATTCATCTGGAAAATTTCATCTTTGTAATTACAAACAAATATCTATAATTAGTCTGTTGTATCACAATTTGACATTCTTAGCTCCTTTTAAACGTATTTCTTTTCCATACAGTCTTAATTTGTTTCTGATAGTTCTGATACCCATTAAGTAGTCATCATTAATGAATATATTTAGGCCTTTTAAATTACTAACATTTTAAT